GGGGGGGTTCCTCTCCCGGGGTTTGATGGAGGCGCAGCTGGAGGAGGAGGTTTCGACGCAGCTGGAGGAGGAGGAGGTTTCGACGCAGCTGGAGGAGGAGGAGGTTTCGACGCAGCTGGAGGAGGAGGTTTCGACGCAGCTGGAGGAGGTTTCGACGCTGGATTCGGTACCGGAGGAGGAGCAGGAGGAGGTGTTCCTGCGCCTGGAATAACCGGAGCAGGAGCAGCTGGACCAGGGTTTGACGCAGCTGGTGGCTTCGGAGGAGGAGCTGGTGGCTTCGACGGTGGCTTCGGAGGTGCAGCTGCTGGTGGAGGAGGAGGAGGTGGAGGTGGAGTTCCTCTTCCCGGAGCAGGTGGAGCAGCTGGACCGGGGTTTGACACAGCTGGTTCTCCGGGGTTTGATGGAGGCGCAGCTGGTTCTCCGGGGTTTGACACAGCTGGTGGTTTCGACACTGGCTTCGGCTTCGACACGACCGCTGGAGGAGGAGGAACAGGAGGCGTCGGACTTCCCGGCATCGGTGGCGGTGCGGGGTTCGAGACTTCGGCACCGCCAGGGGGTTTCGGTCCCGGAGCAGGAGGAAGCTTCCCCGCGGGTTCGCCGGGGGGGTTTGACGCGGGCGGTGCCGGTTTAGACTTTGGCGCGGGGGCTTCCTCTGGATTCGACACTGGAGCTTCTGGTGGATTCGACACAGGGGCAAGTGGAGCTTCTGGTGGATTTGATGCCTCTGGTGGATTCGACACAGGAGCTGGTGGATTCGACACAGGAGCTGGTGGATTCGACACAGGAGCTAGTGGATTCGACACTGGAGCTGGCGGATTCGACACAGGAGCTGGCGGATTCGACACTGGAGCTGGCGGATTTGGCACGGGTTCGACCGGCGGCGTATCTCTGCCTGGATTAAGTGGTGGAGCTGACGCGACTGGTGCGGGGTTTGACACCGCTGGAGGAAGTGCCGGAGGATTTGACACCGCTGGAGGAAGTGCCGGAGGATTTGACACCGCAGGAGGGTTTGGCACTTCTGGAGGAGCTGGATTTGACACGGCTGGAGGTGCCGGAGGTTTCGACACCGCAGGAGGATTTGGCACTTCTGGAGGAGGCGGAGGATTTGACACCGCAGGAGGATTTGGCACTTCTGGAGGCTTCGGAGGTGACACTGGAGGAGTGCCAGCGCCGGCATTAGGTGGCGCTGGTGCCTCTGGCTTGGCCTCGCCGTCTGGCACCCCGGGCGACACGGCATCCTTCGACATCGGTGGCATTCCAGGCTTCGACGCGGGCACCAGTTCGAGCTTCGACGCAGGACTGGATGCCGGGAGTAGCTCTGGGTTCGGTGGAGGTTTTGGCACCAGTGGTTCGTCTTCCTCCTCGTCGGGGTTTGATGCCAGTGGTTCGTCCGGCTTCGACTTGAGTGGTTCGTCTGGTTCCTCGGCTGGTTCCTCCTCGTCGGGGTTTGATGTGAGTGGTTCGTCTGGCTTCGATTTGAGTGGATCGTCCGGTTCGTCGGGGTTTGATGTGAGTGGTTCGTCTGGCTTCGATTTGAGTGGGTCGTCTGGTTCGTCCGGCTTCGACTCAAGTGCGAGCGGCTCCTCCTCGAGCTTCGACTCAAGTGGCAGCTCCTCCGGCTTCGACACCAGCGGGGGCTTCCCAGGAGCGGATTTCAGCGGAGCCTTCGGTTCTTCGAGCGGTTCTTCAAGCGGTTCTTCGAGCATCAACGTCCCTATTTCGGGTCCCCCTCTTGACGGAGCGTTTGGAGGAGGAGGTTTCGGAGACTTGAGCTCCGGTGAGGCTTCAGGAGGATTTGGAGGAGGACCTGGAGGAGGAGGAGGAGGAGTAGGGATCGGATTAGGACTAGGAGCTGGAGGAGGAGGATTTGGAGAAGGAGGAGGATTTGGAGGAGGAGAAGGAGGATTTGGAGGAGGAGAAGGATTTGGAGGAGGACCTGGAGGAGGAGGAGGAGGAGTAGGGATCGGATTAGGATTAGGAGCAGGTGGAGGATTAGGAGGAGGAGGAGGAGGAGGAGGAGGAGGCTTGAAGGGGAAGGAAACCCCAGGGCCTCAAACGACGTCGGTGCAAGACATGGCTTTCCCGTTTTTTGAGCGAGGCCCACCTGAACCCTCCGGAGTTCCAGGTGGGCCGAACCTCGCCGTTCCGACCCCCTCCCCCCCCTTCCCCCCATCACCCCAACCCCCCCCGTCACTTCCTCCCGTCGCTTTTCCCTCCGCCTCTTCTACCTCCTCCCTTCCTCCCGGCTCGGGTTCGTCCTCTTCATCATCCTCTTCCTTCTCCTCTTCCTCCTCATCTTCTTCCTCGTCCTCTTCCTCTTCCATCGACTCAGCCTTCTCCTCGTCTGTCTCTCTTCCCTCGTTCGAAAATTGTGACCCGTCGACTTGCCCGCCAGGAAGAGGAAGAGGAGAAACAGGAGAAGAAGGAAGAGAAAGAGGAGGAGCAGGAGCTGGAATAAGTGGTCTTCCTCCCTCTCCCTCTTCCTCTTCTTCTCCCTCTTCTCCCTCCTCTTCTTCTTCCTCTTCCTCCTCTTCCTCTTCTCCCTCCTCTTCCTCCTCCTCTTCTTCTTCTTCTTCTTCTTCTTCTTCTTCTTCTTCTTCTTCTTCTTCTTCCATTCTCCCTCCCGATATCTCCTTACAAGATCTCACTCACGACGTCCCTCAAGACTTGGCCAAAATCTATCACGATATATACGGTATTAAGATGATCCAGGATGACTCAGCATTTCCGTTGAGGAGAGCACCAGCGCCTGCGAATTTGGATTTGCCGAGACAGTGATAAAGGAGGGAGATAGAGAGAGAGAAGAGGAGAGAGGGAGAGAGAGTGAAAGATAGAGAGATAGAGAGAGAGAGGATGAAAGAGTGAAAGATAGAGAGGAGAGATAGAGAGAGAGAAGAGAGGGAGAGAGAGTGAAAGAGTGAAAGATAGAGAGAGAGAGAAGGAAAGAGAGAGAGAGAAACATAGAGAGAGAAAGATAGAGAGGAGAGAAGAGGAGAGAGGATGAAAGAGTGAAAGATAGAGAGAGAGAAAAGGAGAGAGAATGAAAGAGTGAAAGATAGAGAGGAGAGATAGAGATAGAGAAAAGGAGAGAGAATGAAAGAGTGAAAGATAGAGAGAGAGAGAGAGAGAGAGAGAGAGAAAAGGAGAGATAATGAAAGAGTGAAAGATAGAGAGAGAGAGAGAAACATAGAGAGAGGAGAGATAGAGAGAGAAGGAAAGAGAGAGAGAGAAAAAGATAGAGAGAGAGAGAGAGAGATAGAGAAAGATAGAGAGAGAGAGAGAAAGATAGAGATAGAGAGAGAGAGAAAGAAGGAGATAAAGAAAGAGAGAGAGAGAAGGAGGTAAACAGAGGTAGATGGAGAGAGAGAGAGACGGAGGAGGAGATGGAAGGAAAGAAGTAGATGGAGGGAGAAGGAGAAGAGAAAGAGAGAGAAAGTCCAATAAATGAGAAATTGAGAGAGAATAATGAATAAAAGAGGAAAGAAAGATAAATAGAGAGAGAGGGAAAGAAAAGAACTAAATAAATAGAGAAGATAGACAAAAATCACAATAACCGATAAAGAGAGGAGATAGAGGAAGGTCAGATAATGAGAAAAGAAAAGGAGAGAGAGAGAAAGAAAGAGAAAGAAAAAGAAGAGAGAGAAAGAGATAATAAAGGAAACAGAGAGACAGAGAGAGGGAGAGGAGAAAGAAAAAGATAATGAAGGTGAGAATAAGAGAGAAAATGATAATTCGGGAAACGAAGGAAGGAAAGAGAAACAGAAGAAGAAAAAAAAATCATAAAAGTTTCAGAAAAAAAAGAAAATCACTGATCTTTTTTTTGTTTGTTTGTTTTTGTAAATTTTCTGTTGAAGCAAAAAAAAGAAAAAAAACATAAATAAATAGATAAATAAATAAATAAATATAAAGAAAATCTATAACAGTGACAATCGTTGAGATTAAAATTTGTAAAAAAAAAAAAAAAAAACAAGAGGAAACCGGGACAGTGAAAATAATGTATAATATCAGCGGTGAAAATAATCATCAGTGAAAATAGTTATCGTTTTTAAGCAAATAACAGTGAAAATAATCATCGTCCTTAAGCAAAAAACAGTGAAAATAGTTATCGTTTTTAAGCAAATAACAGTGAAAATAGTCGTCGTCCTTAAGCAAACAGTGAAAATAAAAATCGTTCGTAAGCAAACAGTGAAAATTGTCATCGTTCTTAAGCAAAAAACAGTGAAAATAGTTATCGTTTTTAAGCAAACAACAGTGAAAATAATAATCGTTCGTAAGCAAACAGTGAAAATAGTTATTGTTCATAAGCTAACAACAGTAAAATAGTCATCGTGAACACATTCAAGTTTGACAACAGTGTAAAAATTTAAAAAAATAAAAAAAAACATTATAAACTGCCAACAGTGAGAATGTCAGTGTTGCAACCTGATAACAGTGAAAATATTCATCGTCCATCCGTGACAACAGTGTAAAAAAAAAAAAAAAACATTATAAACTACCAACAGTGTAAAAAAAAAATATATATATATATATATATATATATATATATATATATGTATATATATATATATATATATATATATATATATATATATATATATATATATATATATATAAGCTGCCACCAGTGAAATCTACAAACTTTTTTTTTAATTCTAAAATTATTTTAATTTGAAAAAAAATGATAAAAAAAATTCTCAAAAATTTTGCGATTGATAAAGATGTTGTGGAAACTTTGCAGTGAAAGAAGGTGGTGATAAATCTATTAATTTTGAAGGATTTGCAGTGAAAATTGTTGATAAAAATTCCACAATTTTATAATGAAAAAAATTATTGTGAATGAATAGTAAAAATTAGTGTAAAAAAAATCTATAGACTGAAAATATTTACAGTGAAAAAATTATATATTATGAGAAATTTTGCAGTGAAATTTAATCTAGAAAATGATATACATTTACAGTGTAATTTTGTGATTTAAGAAAAACAAAAACAAAAACTCAAAT